TAAGGATATCAGCATGCACGTAGCGGGGGGATGCCAAGGGAAAACATCTGCGCGTTTTACGGACCCCGTACCAACAGCGGCAGCTACCACTTCGTCCAGAAGGTAACCCAGGGAAATCAACAACGGGCTCGAAGCTTTTGTTATGACGTACATCTGCCCCCCCCTTTTCTTACACCCTAAACCTTCATGTCTTTGCCAACGTGTGGATGCGCAAGTGAGAGCCCTATGTGTCTTGAAGTTACCAAGCCCCATGTCTTATTTCTAGCTTATTTATCAAACCTTATTTTTTTGGGGGGGCAGTGTTGGGGGGGGCAGTGTAACTTTCTATGATAATTAACAATTAAGATGTTTTGGGTTTCAGTCTCGGGTTACTTAAGGGTTGTGGTACAAAGCCGAGCATCAGAGAGATCTTGCGCGGAGAGGCTCATGTATGCCTCGGATGATGCTTATTAACTAATTAGTTTAGGGTTTGGGAATTAGGTGTTTAGGCTTTGGGGTTTAAGGCTTTGGGGTTGAGGGTTCAGGGTGTAGGGTTTCAAGCAGAGAGGCCCAGCGATCCGGGGCAACACAAACCACCGCTCTGGCCTGCTCCATCATGTCCGCCGGCCAAGAGACCTTCAATCATTCATTTAATCCCTAGACCGTAAACCCAAAATCCAAAACCCTAAACCCTCAACCTTATACCCTAGCCCCTCATTCTATAACTGGAGCCAAGAGGCTCGCATCAAGAGTTCGGTCCAAGAGAAAGAGCGGTAGGCAGCGTGATTTGTCGTTTAGGGTTTAGGGTTTGATTCATTAGGGTTTATGGTTTGGGGTAAATGGTTTAGGGTTGAGGGTTTAATGTTTAGAGTTAGGACTTGCTGCAAAGCTGCTCACTCAAGTAGCGCAACCTATCGAAGAGTATCCTCACTTGGCCCTCGAACCAGAGTTTCAGGAGAGAGCCGCCCCCAGAGGCAGAGAAAGCAAGAGGAAGCATGCCAGACCTGACATGATGGATTGGTTAAGCTGAAAAGATTGAGGGGGGTTTCGGTTATGTGAATTAAGCCAAGAGTCTCCTCCTCGAACCATTTCAAGTTCGAGAGGATCTCGGAGAGAGTGCCCGGCGTTGGAGAGCGTTCCTCCGGGTTGAATTAGAGTGAATTATTTAGGATTCGAGGTTTGGTGGTTAGGGTGTTACCGTGAGTTAGAGTTTAATTTGAGTTTAGGGTTTGCGGTTGAGGTTGTGATTAGAGTTTTAGGGTTTAGGGTTTAAGGTTGCGAGAGTCCTGGATGCAAAAAAGGTTGCTCGCCCAGTTTGTGGCAGAGCCTCCAAACCAGGCTTGAAAATGCCTTTGATGAATTATACTTAAACCCGAATTAAACCCGATGAACTAATTCATTGTTTACTATGAAGTGGAAGTACCGTTGTGAGTCTAGACACAAAGAGCTCGCCACCCGTCCGGAAAGCTTCCAGGCAGCCGAATGTGCTTGGAAGGCTCGACGTCGGCCCAGCTTAAAGCACTAATAAACCCTAAACCTAAACCCTAACTAATCCATGAAACCCCGACCCCTAAAGCCAAAACAGTGATTAGAGCAGCCACGGCACCGGCGAAGAGTCAAACGGGTATGCCCCCGACACCGTCGCAAACACGCCAGAGAGTCGCCCATCTCGTGTAAACCACAAAGATCTGAGAGAGCGACCTGGGATCAGGATTCCCCCCCCCACCCGGACCGTGAAATCAATCGGGGGGGAGGGGTTATTAAAGTGAGGTGAGCATCAGCAGTCCTCGTCATCAGCCTGGCCGACCCCAAACGCAGGCATGATGTTTGCAGGATCGTACCTGCCAGCAGTTGCAGGAGCAGGAGATTGCTCACTAGCCACCGATCTTCCAGACAACGAAGGGCGACCGCCGATGGAGGCACTAGTTTGGGGGGCTCTTGCAAGAACACTCTATGAGTCGTTTGATCCCGTCAGGTATTCTTGACCCATCTTTCATATTTCTTCTCTTCGTGTTGATGAAGCTCATCATGTTGAGCACACCTTGGGCTTGATTTTGCAGGCTCCTGGTGTTCGTATCGACGGGATCAAGGAGCGTACTCCCGTGCAGTTCATCAAGGCGAACGAGTTCCTTCTGCAATTCTCTCGGCATCAGAGCCTTGCTGATCAGGAAGAGCTCGCTGAGCATGGCCCCAAAGTTGAGGCAAGCGTGTTCCACAGTTTGACTCGGGTTCCAGAATATGCCGCTCGATGGCCTGCGTGCACTAGGACACTTTTTGCACATGGCCAGATAAATGCTTTCCGCCATACTGGTCATATAGCCTGCCTATATACGTAAACGGGCCGGGCTACAGCAAAGCCTCGAGCTCACGCAGCTACGTATACGGACAATCATGATCGATCCGCAAAATTGCTGCCACGGCCTGCGTGATCCGAGCATTTATAGCTCTGGTTTATGCATTTGCATGCTCTCAATATCCGCGTGTATATACATATATATGTATACACACACACACATATATATATATATGTCTATATATAAACAGATAGATAGATAGATAGATAGATAGATAGATAAATAGATAGAGAGCTCTCGATATATATATATATGTATACATAGATATAGATATAGATATAGATATAGATATTAGATATTAGATATTAGATATGTATGTATATATTTCATCCAGGAGCATGCAATGCAAATGCATGCATGCACAAGAAAGCCTTTATAGATCATATATATATATGCATGCATGCACGGATGTATGTGTATGTGTATGTGTATGTGTACGTGTACGTGTATGTGTATGTGTATGTTGCCTCCCTGAACATTCGGCCGGATCGACTTCAACGTTCGGCACTAGCCAACCACGCTCAACTGCAGATCGCCAAGTTGTCCTCACGTTCAGGCTGGTCAATTCCTCCAACACTTGTTATATGCATGCCTTTCTCACCGCGTGGCTGTGGAGTAGCTGGCCCTATCAATCTCCCATGCAACAGGTCAGTGACTCGGCTCGAGAGTGCCTCACCTCTTTGCTTGAGGCGCCGCAACCTTACACTATCCTCGATGTACCCTGTTTCGTGCTTGGCAGAATCCACAGGTCCAACATGATATTGCGGAGTTCGCCGATTTTGCAGCGTCGGCCTTGTCCACTGACTGTATGTTCTACGCGTGGCAGTCTCGTATTCGCATCGGCCTCAGTTGTGAGGTGAGTGAAGCTGGCAGGGCCTGCAGTCTGGGCCTTGACCTTACTGTCCAGCCTCATTTAGACTTGCAAGGGCTTATCAATCACTGGTCGATGCAGGCTGGCACAGTTGCCTTTAGTGAGCCGCCGACGCTTGCTGTGATACAGGTTGCCAGGTTCCAGGGCTCAGGCAAGCTCACAGGTGCCATTGAATGCCAACCTAAGATCTCGCTTCCTGTATTTCGCGATGACGATACTGTTGACACCATCGCCGTCACGTATCAATTGCAAGCATCCTGTATCCATCTGGGCGCCCAAGCGACATCGGGTCACTATCGGGCCGTACTGTGGGATGAAGCAAGCTCACAGTTTCATGTCACGGAGGATGATCAAGCTGCGGAGCTTTACTCTTCCGCTGAGGCTCAGTCCCTTCTTCGACAGCAGTCTTACTTACTCTTTTATCTTCGGCAAGATGCCACCGTCCGTTAATGGTTCAGTTATATCCAGCGTGCAGTTTCATCCTCGGGAGCTACGGCTCAGGGTGATTCTGTCGCGAGAATACCAAAATGGTATGCCAAAGGCCGGGCTGACCTAGCCTGTCTCAGTTCTAGACCGCACTGCCTCGACGACTCAGGCTGCGCATTCAAAGTCAAAAAGTATGTGTATGTGTATGTCTATGTGTATGTGTATGTGTATGTGTATGTGTATGTGTATGTGTGTGTATGTGTATGTGTGTATGTGTATGTGTTTGTGTATGGGTATGGGTATGGGTATGCGTATATGTATATGTATATGTATATGTATACATATATGTATATGTATATGTATATATGTCTACTTATATGAGTTATACTACACTATAAATAAATAAATAAATAAGTAAATATATATATATATATATTAATATATATATATATATATTATATACACACATACACACACATACATACACATATGTATGTATATATGGTCTCGTGTCGCGTGTCGGTACACCCCCGCCCCCCCCATGGTATCCCCCCATCATGGTATACACCCGAGATCCTCCCCTCTGTGTGGTGTGGTGTGGTGTGGTGTGGTGCGGTGGTGGGTTGTGGGTTTCAGGTTTAGCGTTTAACCCGTTTCCTCCCTCCCTGTGGTGTGGTGGTGGGTGTTGGGTTTAGTTTAGGGTTTAGGGTTCGCCCGCCGTGGTGTGGGCGGTGGGGTTGTTTAGGATTTAAGTGTAGAGAAATGAAAGGGTGTAGGGTTGAGGGTCAGCAGCTGGGCACGGCGCAGACCGAAACCGGTGGCCCATCCAGGTGAGTGTCGCCAATTTGGAAACGCCATAACTTCAAACGTCACAACACTCATGAGGACGGGCCCCTGTGACTGTACCACACCACAGTGGCACGAGGGCCGATTCAGGCATGTCATTTGCTGCCTGAGTGTCCAAACCTCACGCTGGGGCCTCGCCGCTGGAGTCGACTTCGGCTGCTTGGGCATGAGCGCACCTGTCAGTCTGAAAAGGGCTCTTACAGCACCGGCTTTGGAGGCGGTCTCCATAGCTCGGACCTGGTCAAGAAACCATTGTTTGCGTGCTTGCCTGGCGCATGCTCGAATTGAGCATAGCGTCGCTGCGTCCACTGGGCACGAAATCGCCAGTGGTTGTACGCCTGCCACATGTCCCGCACGCCACAGACACCTCCTGCCACGTCCGGAAAGAGTTGTCGGACATGCTGAAGAAGACACTAAGAAGACACTGATTCAGTTGCTGGAGCCTGCAGGGTGGTCTCAGACCCATTGGTAGGTAGTGGCGCGATAATGCCTTAACCTGAACGAGGTCGGTGACGTGCGGAGATCTGAAATTGTCCGCCTGATTCCACGCTTGTCCTCGGAGAAGCCTGGGAAGGGCCGCCAGGAGAGATCCGAGTGAAGCCCAGACCTTCCGGCGCTGCGCCGCCGGGGTGATGGATTGCCCCTTGTCAGTACGTGTATTGGAGGTGCATGTTTATTGAATATATATATATGTGTGTGTATATATATATATATATTGATTGATTGATTGATTTTGCAGTTTCGCCAATGCGGATGCGAACGTGCAATAAACGGCCTGGAATCAGTACGGACGATGATGTTTGAGTGGGGCTGCATAGTTCCGTGCTGATTAATGTCATCACTCCACCTGCTGCTGGCGACATGGTGGATGAGGCTATGACGATCCAACCAGGAGTCTGGAACTCGCCTTCCTCCTTTTACTGGGTTTCTTGACTGTGCCACCGAAGGTTTGTCGGGCTGCGGAAGTGCCTTGGAGCCACTGCAAGAGCTCGCAGTATGCGGCAAAGGTTAGTCCGCCTGCATTGCGGGAACCGACCACAATTCGTGGCCCAACAGTTATCGACTCCCGAGCGAGCCCGGGTTTTCTCGGCACGGCAACAGGATGTGGGGCAGGAGGCGGGACCCCGAGGTCCTTGAGTGATGCCAGCGGCCTCTGTACATGGTACCATGGTGCGGATGGCCTGTGCTCATCGACCGGCATGATTGAAAGCTCCCGTCGCATGAGCCGCGCACCTGGTCGGCACGAGCTCGATGAGGTTGACAAGGAAGGCATGCCACATAAGTGACCTGCCATGAAAGATGCAATGATGAGTGGTGAGCTGTGGTAAACGGGGATGGCGGCTCCTTGGAGCAGCACCAATTGTGGTAGTCCCTGGCTTCCCCGTGTCTCCTGGGCTCTTGGCTTGGGTAGCGAGAAGAAGTGGATGCAGGAGTCCAGAGACAGACAGACGGTGGCAAGGAATCAAATCCCACCCTGCAGGCAAGGCATGCAGTGTGCGCGCCTCTCCTCCGGACTTGGGACCGGAGAAAGCTCGATAGCAGCTGTGATTTGTAGGACAAGGAAAATCTTGAGCGAGGACCTGAGTCGAATCACCCAGACATACAGATCGGCATGTGCCGGTTGTATTCTCGAGGGCTTGCTAGTTTTTCTGCGCACTCATCCTCAGCCAGAGCGGGCAGAGGGGACCAGGGCGATGCTGGCCGAACGACGACGCCTGCAGGGAGCGTCCTGTCGTCCACAACACGAAACAGGCTAGGCACCTCTGGAGGGTGCGGTGACTCCGTCGACGTCGGTGCCGCCGGTCCGGCACGTTGCGAGCCTCATCGTTGAGGTCTGAACTCTTGTCCCCGTGAGGGGAGAGTAGCCTGCTCAAGTGGTTGAGTCAGGCAGTAGTGGTCGTCGTAAGCGGCTCCAGAGCAGCCATGCAGTAAGATGGATCCTCGCCTGGATTGTTGTTTGGGAGGGAGGCCAACAGTGCTGGTGCCTGATAAAGCGGCCGGGCAGCGCGTTCGCGGGCAGAGCTACATGGAGCCATTGCATGACGCCCACAGGTGCACTTGTGTTATTGCTCGTGTAGACAGAAAGCCGCGCTATGGCTGATGACGGAGGGGGTGGGAGAGACACCGGATGACTTCCCGGACACCGCCGACTTGTCCAGTACAGGGAGGTCGCGCTAGAGGAGCAACTGCCTCGCTATACTTCAACCGCAACCAGGTTGCGGAGCTACACAGGCCATCTTGGATGGAGCTAACCGCGAAATGGTGGCGGAGGAGGTGGGGATGGAGCAAGTGGATGGCGCGTGCTACCAGCCATGCCCACAGAGGGAGCTAGAGCAGAAGGCACTGCACGCTACTCTGAAGCGACTTCATGCTCCAGGGCTGCTGACACTAAGGAGGAAGCTAATCGCCGCCGGAGATCGCCGCCGAGCTCGCCCGCCGCCGCAGCCGAGGCCAAGCTACGAGACGTGGAGGCCGCGGCCGCTAGGCGCCGCGAGGAAGCCGCTAAAGAGGCTGTGCGCCTCGAAGCAGAGGAGTAAAGAGGCTAGGCGCAAGTCCAACTATGCGCAGCTATTTGATGACGAGCCGGACCGCGCTGGGGACAGCGACGCTACAGGAAGCACAGACCCCAGCTACCCGAAGGGCGAGTTCTCTCCGCTACCACGCAAGCAGAGCTACGCGGAGAACCTCAGAGCCAGAGGCCAGTCCGCTAGTGCTGGGGCCGGCACCAGCGGCAAAGCGCCAACAAGTCTAATAAGGACTTGCAGGCTACGACCACCTGGCGTGAGCTATTCGAGCAGGCCGCGCATGATCAAGGCCACCGGCACGGGGAACTGAATACCCGTGAAGCTGTAGTTGTATGGCGCCGACCGCCCAGGTTTTCGGTCGCTCGCGCCTGGCCCAAGGGCAAGCGCGAGTTCAAGGCCGTGGCGCGACATCTGGCCGCTATGGGGAGCTGGAACCCTTCGCCAAGAAATGAGGACGGGCCAACCCCGCGCTATCCCAAAGGTGGGAAGGCTAGGGGGAAGGGCAACGAGCCCGTGATCATGGACATCGCTATCATCCTCCCGGGCCTGACCCGGGAGCTACGCAACCTCACTGAGGAGGACCTGCGGCTAGTGTGCGAGCACCCGCCCACAGAGGAGCGCGCTAGATGGCTTGCCAATGGCCTGCTACCCAGAGGCTGCTACGTGGAGTTCGACGCTATCCCATCGGCCAATGAGACGAGAAAAACGCTATCTTTCGGTGCGCGGTTGTTTGCACACTGCGGGCTAAGAGCGTGCAACCGCAAAATGTGGCGGCGCCTTGACACCCACGCTCGCCACAACTGTGACTACTGCAAGGAAGTCCGCTATAGGTGCCCTCCCAAGGAGGCACCGCTAGGCAGCCACGCTGATCCCAGCCGCTAGCAGCAAAATGAAGGCTAGCGTCCCTGCACTTCTATCAACTTCTATCGCCTGTGCTGCTACATGTCTTGATACACGCTACATGTCCTGCAGCCAGACAGAAGAGGAGCGCTAGAGTGAGGGGGGGAAACGGGAGGAGGCAGGAGCTATCGTGGTTATCGTGGGGGGCGCTGGGGCCGGGGGCTGGCTTTTCCTGTGGCCGCATAGCCCGACCGCCCCGCTACAGCTCATCTCTCGAAGCACGTGCTAGCGACACACTCTCTCACTGGCTAGCTCCAATTATATATATATATCAATATCAATATATATATATATATCAATATCGAGTTTTCCAATGTTTCGCTAGAAGCTTAGTTTTTCAACCGTGCTAGAGCAGCTGCTCTGCCACCATGGCGGAAGAGCCAGCCAGAAAGCTAGCCCTTGGGGCCTCCGAACTTCGGTTCCTGCTAGTGCAACACAAGGAACGAGGTGCGGGATATCGCTAAGCCGATCCCGAGCACCGACTGCATCGCTAAAGAGTACATCGAAAAGAAGCTAGCGGAGCTCGAGTCCGGGGAGTTCCGAGCCGAGCCGCTAACCGAGATCATCAGCCGGGACGAGGTGGACCCGGACACGCTAATCCCACAGTGGGATGCCAAAGGCACGCTATCCATCAAGAAGGGTGGATCGAAGACCGAGGAGCACTTGCTGGGGGATTGCTGCTATCTATGGGCTCCGATCCAGTGAGGACTCGGGATCGCTAATCCCACCTTGGAGTCTAGTGCTCAGCTACGAGCACACTATCCGCAAGCATGCCTACAAAGTTCATGGCTACTGCCGGCTACTCCTTCGGAGCAGCCGTGGTACACAGCTGCAAGGAGGCCTGAGTGAAGGAGCGCAACTTCACCACGCCGCTCGCCCTCCACGCTAAGAGGCCCCAGCCCTGGCTGGCCCCAACAAGAAGCTAAAGAAGGGCCAGGAAGGCAACGGCAAGGCCATGGACGAGTACTCACCGGTGACCCAGCTGCAGCTTCCCTGGACAGTGAGATGTAGCCGTGAGGACGCTGAATATCTCTCCTTCTTCTTGCTCGAATGCTTCATTAGGGTGGAGATGACGGCAGAAGCCATCACGTGGCCCGTTCTGCATCGACACCTGCCATGTTGGGAGGTGTTATTGCAGCAGGCCAGGGCACCAGAACTAGCAGGCTAGTACTTTCTCAGATGTCGGACTCCGCACTTGCGTATGAAGACCACCGGATGACTTGGGCTCTACAAGCTCGATATAGTGCTTGGACGCACCTGCATGTGCTCAGGCAGAGCTAGAGGCTAGAATTGAGGTCTTTGTTTGCATGTTGCTGGGTCTGCAGTGAACCACGATCTCTATATGGATGCAATCGTTGGCAATACTTGCAAGCATACAATGTATTCGTGGATTCTTGTGAGATGCCTGCATGGATATTGATGCTGGCAATATCTCTGCAAGCATGCATGTGTGAGCCAATCTGCATGATGTGAATTTGGTGCTGTGGCGCAGGCATAGCAGGGTCAGCCTGGAGTGCAACTCTGCATGGGAATCAATTTGCGTGAACTGGTACGTCTGTTTCGAGACGAGCAGAATGCGAGCTGAATTTAGACGTCCTGCTGAGCACTGCGCTGAGTCCTTGCTTTGTTGTGAATACATGAGTTCGTAGGAACAAGCACGACAGTGACAGGAATTAGTTGCATGTGTAGTCCAAGGAAGTGGTGACTTCAATGTAGTGTTGTAGCAGCGGTACATGCTTTACTTCTCTGGCATCCTTGTTGGTTTTAGCGTTGTTGGGTACTGTCTACTTGTCTAGTTGTTATGAGAGGTACTGCTGGCCTAGACCCTGTGAAACTTTGTGGAGAGTGAAGTAATGCCTTCACTGTTGAAACAGTCCTCAGCAATAGCAGCTCTTAGACTTGGGACTTGGTCCTTGAAAGTACTATGTAAGTGTTCTGATTATCCTGCTGTTGAGGGCTGCCTGTAACAATAGCGAAACTTGGAGGAGAGCGAAAGACAGGTCTCGTTGACAAGAGAGCCTCGGGAGTTGGGCCATATGGGTGGTCTGCATGGTCTTATATGGTTCTGGTCGAAGCGAACGGTGGGTCCTCTCCCCCTACCTACACAACATGCGGTGCCTCCCAGATGCTTCTGTTGTCCCCATATCGCCAGGCAAGCAAGAGAGAGGGCCTTCTGGGGTCACAACCGTACGTCAGCTGTCACAATCCCTTCAAGAGCCCCGTAAAACAGGGGCGGCCCGAGTGGCCCGGGGGCTCCGAATGTTCCCTAAGACCTGTCGAAAGTCTTTTTGAGCGCTGCAGCACTATAGTCGCACCTGTTGGGATCGATAACCAAGCATGGTGTTCTAATTGGGATACTTCTGCTTCCTTGTTTGGGCTGTCGCGGCATCGTCGCGGCTAACAACTGGCTTGCATCCAACCATCAGGCGTCCCACCCCCGTGGGGAAAAGCAACTACTTGTACAAGCTCTCGATGTTGGGCGGGGGACAAGTTCACCTACAAGACTGAGCTTGGTCGACCGTGACAACATTGTTAACTTCCTTGGATCCGGGCACGTGCGGGGTGTAAACACATGGTTGTTTCTGACATCAGTGGCGACGGGGAAGGCCTTTGAAGGACTGGTAGATTGAACCTGGCGCACGGCCACAGAGAGCTGACAGTGAGAGTCGCCGAAGCGCAGCCGAGAGGGGAGCTTTACCGCAACACTTGGGTATGAACTCTTCAGGCATCTTCAGGCGGGCCGGGGGAAACCCTTAGCCCTTCAAAGTTTAAAGGCAGACCAGTCCCATTTATGGCCCGAGTCGGTCGCAAATCTTAGCTTTCATTCAATGCCAACCCATCCATGACACACACATCCGCTGCATTTTTGTGGCCAGACGGGGACCCAACTAGCTGCTACTAGTACTCTGCTACAGCCCGGATCCTCGACGTGTGCCGCGTCCGCTCAAAAGCAGCGGCTGCATTGCATCCGGAGTTGCCTTGTTAATAGCCCTCCAACAGAAGGACATCAAAAGAGCGGGACCTCCCGAAAAGTTGGGAAAGAAAGAGACAAACAATGCAAATGACCCCTGCTCCTCATAAGCCCGCGGAAAGGAAACAATGAAAGAGAGAGGACGTGCGAAATAGAATCCGTTCGACACCCTGTCCGCGCAAGGGGACCCAGCCGGGGAAAAACGTGCAATGTCTCTATGAGAAACATCGCTCCCTTGCAACTGTTGGAAAAGAGCTCCGGGTGCCCAGGAGGGTCAGGCCCCCGGCAAGGTCCTCCGCCTTACCTCGATTGGGACAAATTGTCTTGTACGTCTACTGACTGGTGTCGCTTCTGCTGACTTTGAGTTCCACGCCACAGCTCAGCTTCTCACGTCTTCTTTCATGTCGGTCTTCACGGTAATGCTTCTTTGCGATCGATCCTCGCTCCCAGCCGGAGGAATTGCACCCAACGTGCGCTGCTCGGCGCCTCTCCGCCTTTGTTGGCGAGCGGGCTTCTTCCCCTTTCCAAGTCTCCAAAACGTCGCCGCTTGGTGGCTGCCCTCAGCTTAGGTAGGGCGCACGGGCGGTGTGGTTTTTTGGTGGGCTTGGTTTCCCCTCTGCTCCGGGTTGCTTTTGTCGGCTCAGTCGTTGTCGTCATGGCAGGTTTCTTCGATCGCCGACCTCCTTTGCCAGTCATCGACTCGAACCTCCCCCCACTCTCGTTTTTGCTCTTGCCAGGAGGTTGTGGCAGGCTCCCTTTCGACATGGTTGCGGAGCTTCTCGATCATGTTGGAGCGGTGTTCTAGGTTGATCAGGAGGGTGAGCAGTTCGTAGCAGTTCCTGCCTTTGTCTCTGTTACTCTTTGTTTTCGTTCCTCGTCTGTAGAAACTCTTCGCACTCCAGAGACTATCGTCCGGTGACGGTGTCGACGCTAGAAGCTCATCCTTTAGTTATACCATAGGTCAACAGAGCTGCGAGGGTACGTGAGCGTCAGGCCAAAGGCACGGAATCTGAGCGGTGGTCTGCAAGTCTCACTGGTCTGGCTCGCTGTTCCAGCCTTGTTTGGGGGTGTCCCCCATCTGGTTGTTCTGGGCTGGGTGCTGGTTTGCTCCTCTTGCTGTGTCTTTTTATTCAGGCTTTGCTGCTTCTTTTTGGGTTCATGTAGTGCGTATGGTGGGTCCTAGCGCACAGCAGGAAACCTAAGTGCCGCGATCGGAGAGATGTGACACAGCCAAACAGCTTGAGCCAAAATGGCTTGAGTCAGGGATGCCCTAATCATAATCAGAGAGCAGCTTGTCGAATCCCGGAGTTGACCAAGCCGACCCAGATTGGAGACGCGGGGGTGCAGAGGTGCCCTTGCACTTCAACCTCGTGCAAGCATGCAACAGACGGAACAACGAGAAGGTGTTAGAAGGGTGGAGCTTCTTGGATCCGCGTGGTGCAAGGGGTAGATACAGCAGCAACGCGAATGGCAACATGTACCTTTTGAAAGACAGTGGTTGTCACGGGACTTATTCAGAAGACCGTGGTGATTCTAATGGTAAACATGGAGCTCCGGGACGTAGTGAGTGGCCTTAGCTGCATGTGTTGGCCATCCGAGGACGACATATCGCCTCTGCAACTGTCGGACTACTTTCGGATCACATCGTTATGGCCTGAGACGTTCACAGTCACAAGATACTCCGTAACTAAGGGGTAGGCCATCGATGGCACGGTTAGCCTTCAGGACGTCCTTGTGCGTTGCTTTCTGATGCTGCGACTTTTCGTACTTTGCTTAGCAAGGACATTGCACAGAAGGCCTTGCATGTTCAGGTTGCTTGCTGCCCACTGGCAGGCTGAGGCTCCAGCCACGCACAGTTCCACCGCCGTGTGCTGCTTTCGAGTTGAAATGATGTGTCAGGCCGTCTGAACTCGCGCTGCCTTCGGGCCGCTCTTTGTCCGGATGCTGAGTATGCGACTACATGTTTAACTGTTGGGCATCCCTTCACCTGCACATGAGGTCGCGGTCTGGTGCCAGACAAAGACGCGTGTCTCACGCCACCCCCAATGACCAGTTTCAAGGCGCAGCATAGTTTGCATTTTCGCAAGAAGGGAAAAGCACTGTAGGCGATGTTTCGTCTGCTGAGCAGCCCTCAGTTTGGCCATAAGATGCCATAAGGCCGCTAGGCCGTCATGGATGTGTGTCTCGGGTACAAACTGTTTTTATGCATCTTGCCGAGGCGGGATACTCGCGCATGGACCTTCTGCAGAAGCAGGACCACATCATGCATGTCTCAATTTGTCACACAGAAGCAAAATACATAGTCTGCCAGACACAGTCAATCAGCCCTTTCTTGTGCAGTTGCACGTGTCTGATTGGCCCAGCTTGCAGACAGTCCTCCGACAGCTGAAGCCAGCAGACCACACAAAAGTAAAAAGGGACAGCACGTTCGAAACAGACCCCAAAGAGCTACGACGTGTCAACACTATTTCAGCACTCCTGCTGTAGCTCTGTGCTGTTGGCACGTGTGGGCCTAAGTGTTTTTGCCTCCACAGCTCAGTTGCCCGAAGCCACAGCTCGCCTACGAGGTTTTTCAGCCCAAGTCGCATGGTGGAGGCCTTACGCCTCCCCGAAGCTGCTGCTATTGCGATTGGATGCAGCGGTTCGCAGAAGGCTCCATGTGTCACCAAGGGGGCAGACACTGTTATCCTCAACTCCCCGGGTTTGGTCGAGACATTGAACTGGCACGTGTCGACGGTGCGCCTCGTTCTTTGCTGTCGGTGCGGCTCACCAAAACAATCACTTGCGCTTAGGTCTACGATGAGCGCGTGGGAACAGCTTTCAACTTCATATACGATGCGACGGCCTTGAATGATACTCGGGATTTGCGACATGACCTACGGAGCCCAGGTGTTGCAGTTCTCGTCGGGGCGGGACAAGTTCTGTGCCCTGATGCAGGGCTACTGCAAATTCGCCAGCGAGGTGACTCTGTCCTTGAGTGTGTGAGTGGGGAAGTGCATCCGACACAAGCCTACGGAAGCCGTTGCAGGTGTTTTCCGAGCCAGACAGCGAGCGGCATTGGATGTACAGGGGCATGGAGGACAAGATCTAGAGAATCTTGAGATGTGGATAGATTCCCTTTGCCTTGTTTGTGTCGGAGGACAGCCTCAGTGATGGACGTAAAATTTTCAGATTGTTCAAAGAGTTCAGAGAAGTCTACAAGGCGTGCCATGACAGAGACTGACCCACAAGCCACCAGCCAGCTCTTTGCTGTTGTGCTTGTGCAAGGTTCGTCGAGGGTGGAGTCGATTCTCCCAGGGTGCGCAGGAACATGGAACTTTGTCCGTTCCTGCAGCGTGTGGAGTTCTTGATATGCCGTTGCCCGAGGTTGCTGTAGGGATGCGTAAGTGGAATTTCCAGACAGGAAGGTCGATGGAGATAGCTGGCCGAGTCGTTGTGATCGAGTTACTGTCCTACCAGCAACTACTTCCCGCCGGCCCTGCCCTCTCGACTCCACCCAGGCTTGGCCACACCTGCTCATTCTTCTACTACCTAGGCGCAGTGTACACAGAATCGCTGCCAGTCACAAAAGTCTTCAACAACAGGTGACAACCTTCTTTGGGCTGCCTCGGTTGGCCTCGTGCGCTCGAAAGAAGTTCCACAGATGCAGCGGAGGCTCGCGGGAGTCAGCAATTCCTGGCAAGACTTGAGAGCTGCTGGTTCAGGATGTGGAAGGGCTTCCGTCCCTGTGGCTGATTTCGCCTGGAAGTCATCTCTTGTTTCTTTGCTTCTGCAAAATGTCTACTTTGTGCTGTCGCCAACTTAGGCAAGAACGGGGCCGTGTTGAGAGCTCTGGGAGGTGTCGCAAGCTTGAAGCCCAGCTCAGGGTAGTGCACTTTGATCGAGTTCTGCTCTTGGTTGGAAGTTCTCTCGCGTGATGGGAATGTCGTTCCAGCTTGAAGTTGTGACTCTGGCTTCTCTGCAACAGTTGAAGCTGAAGATTGTTGACCTCTATGGTTCTGAACGCATGTCGAGTCTTGGCACACTTGGGTGCAAGTGTCATTCCTTGACAAAATTGAGAAATAGATTGCATGTGGCGGGCCAGTTTTCCTCCGAATCCTTCGTGAGTTGTTTGATCACACGAAGCCCCTGCGGCTGTGGGCGGTGTTGGCCTGTTCAGGGTGGGGATCACTGGAGAGAGGAGGAGCGAAGGAGGGAACCTCCGGCCCGGCTGTTGCTGTAACGGGCATCGCTTGTGCCCGGCGGCCTGCCAGCTTGCGAAGCTCCACTCTCAAGTTACGTTGTTTCCGTTCACAGCCCGCACCTCGATCGAGTTGTGTTTGGTGCAAAACTACGGAAGCCACTTCGCAAAAAGTCGAGGAGCCTTCGCAGCCAACAGACCCCCGTGTTGCATCAAGCCGGCGTGCAGTGACACTTGAGAAGAGAATCATAGCACGAAGCTTTGACATTGCAAGAACGTGTAAATTAGCTTCGCGGGCTCGCAGCACGTGCGCTGTGCAGGCATGACGTAGAGGCGCAATTCGCAAGGTGCTAGTCGTTATCGGATGTGGAATGACTAGGATGATGATACCGAAGCTGAAGGTGACTATGAAGATGAGAATGACGACAAGAAGACTTACAACTATCATTATGATGGTGATGCTGTGCACGATCCACGATGAAGATCAAAATAAGCATGATGATGATGATGATGATGGCGATGGTGATTGAGGTGATGAGGAGGATGAGTCTGATGCTGGTCACGATATGTTTCAGATTGCTTCCATGACATCCACTGTCTAATTCTGCTGTACTGGAAGAGAAATAGTAGAAACAAGATGAAGGTTTATGAAGGATTAATGGGGGATCGTATGGCTTGGACAAAACATTCACTGCAGGGCTGTTCTCAAAAGTGTTCATGTTAGCGGAGATTGACTGCAAGCTTCACAAGCTCAGAGCTGGTTTGTGGTGCGCCGTGATTTCGTTCTGGTGAGCTACTCTGAGATGTCAAGCGCAAGCGCAACTGGGCGTCCATATGGAGACTGAACTTTGCGATCTGCGAAAGCCTCGGCTAGTGCGCAGGCGGCTGTCAAATGACGGACTCAAACACGCTCATACCTCAGGTGCCAATTTGCTCCTGCTGCAGAAGGCCTTGCTTAGGCTCGGCCTTCGTCGCCTCTTTGCAGCACCCAATGACAGTTCTCGGTTGTCGATGTGGGTAGTTGCCAGCGTGTTGTTAGTTCAGGTGTGGAAGATCCAGATGACCGGGTCTCAGAAGTGGCGTACAGAAACAAAGTACCAGGCATTCCAGAGAGTCGAGACGAGCGGGCCCTGCGGATGCGAGGACGCCCGTCTTTTTCACATGCTGGATATCCTTGGCATGCTTGCCAGCTACAGAGTCCTCCTCTCGAAATTAAAAATCGCGAAAGCATCCCATGCGAGGCCAGGGCCTGTGCTTGACTCTGTGTGTGTGTGTGTACGTACCCGAGGCTTGAATCTTCTTGTTCTGTCGATTCTGTCTTGGTGGCTTGTTTTGCATCCGTTTGCCAACATGCCTTGCTGGCTTCCAGCTAACCTTCAGCTGAGTCCGGTTCTCACAAAATGCGCAAGCGGCACCTACCGGTCTGGACAAGCCATTCTTGACAGCATCTTGCTGCAATTGACTGCTGGATCGATGCAAGCGGGTCGTTCGTTCATTTGTGTTGTTGTCGGTTTCTCGGAGCCACGTAGCAGCCGCCTATGTGCTTTTCGGGGCATCGGTGAGGTTGTACAATGTCACGAACAACTGGGACAACAGCAGCGCACATGTATTCTCAGATGCAGTATGAAGCACAGCGCTTGGCGTGTTGGCTGGACCTCTGCAAACAGAGGCTCCAGCCATAGGCTAGCAACCGGACCAACCCACAAGTGGGACCTGTACGAACTAGCTAGGTAATCCCCAACCTCGATCCGTGGCATGCTCTTTCCCTGCAATCAGCAGCGGAGAGGTGGCGCACGAAGCGAAAGCTCCCTTTGCGCCTGAGAGTGGTAGAGCCTCGCAAGGCTGGGCCTGCTGTCGATGCTGGCAGCGGCCTGCGGCATCTGGAGCAATTGGCGCAAGGAGGGACTGAGCGAGAGCGGTTTGAGGGAGAAGAGGAAAGCCACAGCCGCTGGCAGGTGCGGCGGAAGAACTGCGGCACCAAAACTTGGATGGTCACAGACCTCAAGTCTGAGGCATTGATGGCATGATGTAAGATCCCGGTCACTTGGATGATCTTGGATGCAATGAGCTTACCAGTGTGGAAGGTCTGGGACGCTTTCCTGTCTGGGTATGCATGTCCTTCTTGACAGGCTTGCTAGCAACTCCATCTTGTGCTTAGGTCTACGGTGTTTATTCTGTACATAGACGGCGGAGTGATGAGTCGCAGCAGTCAGTAGCAGCTGCATCCCGCATCAGCCGAAAATTCGATTTGTCCACAGGTAGGCATCCTGCAGGTGACGTGCTGAGGGTCAAGTCTAAGATCGAATTCTGCAGAGGTGTTCTACGGTCCTTGCATGTCACGCAAGAGGGCACCAGTGTAAGACTCCGGAGCCAGGGCCCAGAGCGAGTTTTAGAACCACGTGCTTCTGAGAAGCCACGTAAAATGAAACGAGTGCTTGAAACGTGGAAAATCTGCGGAGAGCAGAGCGCAACGAAGTGCAAGCATTTGGAGGCAGCTTGGCGCTTTGCAAAGAAGATACAGCCAGGAAAGGCATCTGTCAACACGATTACTGGATGTCTCGGCAGATCCCGACTCAGACCGTGACTCGTTAAGCTGCAGCAACTTATCGTTCTCAGTCTGAAGCTTTGGGAATACACCTTTGCTTGCAAAGGCGCTGCGCGTGAGATTCCTGGAGTTTGTGCAGCAGGTCCAACTTTCGCCTCATGCTCCACGTGTTTTCAGTTGCTGATATTACATGAGTGAAACCGGGCTTGGCATCCTGCAATGCGTTTTTTTCTGTCTGGAAAAGTTGCAAGTGTACGAGCCATGCGACGCGGGATTTAGAGCGGCTGCGCAATGGCAGCGGCACCTGATGTGGGCGAGACCAAGAAGGCGCCTCTCCTCAGTGAGGGGACCGAGTGGGACCCAGAGTTGACGCGGTCTCCTTTCACTGGTGACGGTCGACCGTCTGAACCCGAGAGAATACAAATCACCATACATGGCCCAAGTGCCAGTGCCGCCAATTTAGCACCCAGCAGCCAGTCGCTGGTAGGGTCGGGTGCAGATGCACCGCCTGGCTCGGATGAGGGACCACTGACTGGTTTAACATCAGATGAGGCTGCAGCAAGGCTTGGCCAATTCGGGCGGAACGAGATACCCGAGCATGTTGAGCCTTGGTATGTCATGCTGGGAAAGCAGTTCGTTGGCATGATGCCTTTCATGCTCATCGTTGCTGCAGCGCTTTCTGCCATCACAGAAGACTGGGCCGACTTCGCAGTTATTGCGCTCATGTTGGTTGTGAATGCCTTTATTGGTTTCCATGAAGAGTTCAAGGCACGCCAGTCCTTGGACGCACTCAAGGCTCAAATGACGGCTACGGTTCCTGTGAAGCGCGATGGGAACATGATCATCGTTCCTGTTGCGGACCTCGTGCCAGGTGATGTGAATCTTTGCTGTGTTTGGAGGATGTGCGGTGTCTGGTGATGGCATTTCGAAGAGTCGAAGTGCTCACAGAGTTTTCAGGCCGTAGAGTAGAAACGGTTCCGCAGTTCAACAAAGTGACACAACCCACTCAGAAGCCGCAGAGCCTTTCTGATAGAAATCGAAAAAGATGCGTGCTTTTACACTTCCCATTTTACTCGTTTTTTGGCAAGCCACATGCCGCAAAGAGCTCCCAAGAGGGGATACGGAACGTCTTGTCCGTCCAAGGATTTTCCTGCGTGGTGGGAACATCGTCCCAGCAGACTGTGAGTTCTTGGAAGGCGACGAGATGTTGGTGGACACGGCTGCTTTGACCGGTGAGCCCATTCCACGCAAAATTCCTCGTCCGGATCGCGAAGGCGAGGCGACGGGATCAGGTAAGTTGCTGCTGTCAGGCTGCATTGTGAAGCAGGGTGAGGCCCACTGCGAAGTCAGGGAGACAGGGCTGAACACAGAGATAGGGCAAGCTGCCGGCCTTGTGGCAGAAGCCTCTGGCCATCGGCCGGGCATCTTTGAGACCAAGATCATGCAAGTGGTGCATGCTGTTATATTGCTAGCGCTCGTGGATGCCGGTGTCGTGCTTTATGTTGATGTCGCCCACCGGGGAACTCCGTTCTCCAAGGCGCTCCTCAATGTCCTGGCGTTGGTGATCGGTGCTGTGCCCATCGCGCTTCCGCTGGTAATGCAGGTGACAATGGCGATCGGAGCGGCAAGCATGGCTGGCAAGAAAGCAATTGTCACACATCTAACTGCCCTCCAAGAAATCGCATCCATGACGGTCTTGTGCTCCGACAAGACCGGCACCTTGACAACAGCTGATATGAGGGTCCTGCCTCACAGAACATGGACTCGCAATAGGCTGCCAAAAGATGATGCGCTGCTTTATGCATGCTTGGCATCCAACCCAGCAAACAAGGAAGACCCGATAGACAAGGCCGTCCTGGGTTCAGGGAGTGAACACTTTGGAGTCGATGAGGCCGAGCAGCTTATGGCGAGGTACAAGAAGACGAAGTTTGTGGGCTTCAACCCAACCGTCAAGCGGACCGTTGTTTATTGCGAGCACGAAGAGAAGGGCAAGCTAAAGATCTCGAAGGGGCTTGTGGACAAAGTTCTGATCACCGGAGAAGATGGAGGAGACTGCTGGGAGTGCGAGGATGCCATGGTTCTTAAGGATGAGTTAAAGGAGGTGGACCTTCGCTTGTCATCGCAAGGGTACAAGACGGTCGGTCTGGCGGTCTCCGAAGGCGAAGGCCCCATGCAGTTTGTCGCCATCATCCCTATGCTGGACCCCCCACGGCAAGACACACAAGTTACTATTTTCCGGATCCGATCGGCTGGGATCAATGTCAAGATGATCACCGGCGACCACTTGAACATAGCAGTGGAAACAAGCCGCCTGATCGGTCTCGGGACAGGCATTCTCCCTGCTTCTGACTTGTGGCCGGCATCAGCGACTCGAGATGAGACGATTATGACAGCGGATGGATTTGCACAGGTTCTCCCCAAGGACAAGCGGGAGGTCATATTGGTGCTGCAGAATCGGGGACTCGTTGTCGGCATGACTGGTGACGGAGTTAATGATGCTCCGGCATTAGCTCAAGCTCAGATCGGCATTGCAGTAGATGGCGCAACCGAAGCAGCACGGTCAGCGGCGGACATCATACTTACATCCCCAGGACTTTCCGCCATTTTCGATGCCGTCGTCGAGTCGAGGAAGATCTTCGCTCGGTTGAGGTCGTATGTGTTGTACCGCATCGCAGCCACCATCCAAATCGTACTGGTGTTATCGGTACTCATTTATGCATACAATGACACCATGCCTGCGATCTATGTGATTTTGCTTGCCCTGGTGAATGATGTTACCATGCTGCCGGTTGCAAGTGACAATGCCTCCCCGTCGGCACTGCCTGAAATTCCTTCGATGCCATCGATTCTTTTGGCTTCTTTCCTTTATGGTATTCTGGGCACGGCTCAGACGATGGCCTTGTATATGTCGGACCTTCTAGAGGGAGATGGCTCTGATGAGTATCGCATGGCAGTGACATACCTTCAGATGTCCATTGCAGTCGAGCTGTTTATCTTCTCGTGCCGGACCCCTGTGTATGTCTTCAACCTCTTTCGGTCGGACGCTTTGCCATTCGTGCTCCTGCTGGTGTGCGTCATGGGTGGCAACATTCTGGTCTCGCTGCTGGCTGGCTTCGGGGACACGTTTAAGATCGTGCACAAAGTAGCCTCCGGGACTGCACAAGCCACACGTTGGTATTGCCAGTGCAGGTGTCGTACACCATGTTTTTGTATCTTTGCCGTAGATTCACTCGATTTGAATTCAGGCTTGGGTCGACATTGGCTGGTAGCTACCTCAGTCACCCTCAATCATGTGAGCTTGTCTATCCGGCAGACTCGTGACACTGCGGCTGCCGCGCGCCAGGATTTGGTTATACGACTTGCTCGGGTTGTTGGTGATTGATTTCTTGAAGCGCTTCTTCAACATCGTTGGCCTTGAAGCTTGCATGTGCTTGTCCTCAAACCCCAGAACTGCAGTTCGTGTTGCTTTTCAGATGGCACATGCAGTAATCACTAGACACTAGACGCAGAATTTGCTGTGTGTGCCCCGTTTGTCCAAGGACTGGATGTCGGCTGGAGCTGGTGGCGATGTGCTTGGGTATCCGAACTTGCCCGACGAGTTCCATCACGCGAGCCATCGATCCACTTTACTGCACCACAGATCTAGCGTCAGGAGCGTTGGGTTGCTTGATCCATTGGACGTCATCTCGCAAGGGAGAGCCTTTCCAGGAGCGTCCTGTACCACAGTCGACTCTCCACGATCTCGCAGGCAAAGAAGAGAGCCTAGTAGACTAGAGCTGTAGGTGCTATATGCTGTCCTGTGCCAGGGTGGTGGGCTGGCAGCCGGCGCCATGCACGCGAAGCCATCCGGTTCAACTTTGCCATTCCCGCACAATCTGCGGGCGCAGGCACTTCGGCACCTTCACTCGTTCTAGCCACGACACTTGGCTTATCTTGGCTGCTGGCCAATGCTTGTGTGTCTCTTGATCCCAAACCCTCACGTGCCAAGGGTCTTCACGATGAAAACGAGCTTGAGCAAGTTGTGCTGGTGCGTAGATGCCGTGGAGTCGGTCAGCAAGGACAAGGGGGCAAATGCCGTGGCAAACGGATCTTCTCAGACCATGTATACTTGTTCATTGAAAGCATCACTCGACAATCTTTCGTGAACCTTTCGCCACGAGCATGTTCCACATAGGGGGTTGCGATTGGAGATGTCGTGATTGCCAATTGGGCCGCGGCCTCTCTTGGTCGCTCCGCATGGTTAGGAGACGTTCCAACTGTGCCAACAAGAGCACAGAATCCAAAAGAGCCAAGCTTGCTGCATGAGAGGTGTGTTTTCAGGACTGCGGACATTAAAGTCCTACATGACTGGACAGCCCGATGCAGAGGACCAGGCAGAAAAAGAGCCGACACAAGCGTGCACAGAACAACGGTCTCTGTCGGGTCTATGCCTTCTCAAGCGCACCGAATTCAGGGCAGGCGTGCTTGGCCAGGTCCCTATCTTCCTGGAAGACCTCTTGCGCGCGGCTTTGGCTTTGTATGTTCGATTTGGCAGCCAAGCGCAGCAACTCCGTTCTGACACTTCGATGAAAGAGCGTGAGGAAATGCACAGTTGAGAAGCCGGCGGCCGAGCAAATCGCTCACCAACGGTCGGGGCCCTTGCGCTTGACATTGCTGGCCATCGTGCTATGGAATGAACCGGCTGCGAGCTGTGTGGAATCAAGCTTAGACTTACTTACGTGATTTGGCCCGGTCTCGCCCACGTATCCCCGCGCAATCTTACACAGTTTCCTGTCGCAGAAACACCAAAGTACCAGAAGTTCTAGATTCTAGATTTAGTTGTCCGCGCCCTCGTCAAACCTCGCCGACATGGCAAACGTCTCCCGTGCAAGCAGCAACCAGGCCCGGAACCCCAGATCGGCTTCGACAGACGAGACCTGTGAGACCTCAGGATCCTCACGAGCCGAACGGCGTGTCCAGAAAGGTAGAGGAACTGCTTTGCAAGCCTTTCGACGAGGCCTCGTGTCGATGTGTACCACGATTCTGATTCGGAGTGCGAGTGATGACGAGAGGCCTTGAAGCATTGCCCCGCACTGGCTGAGTACATTCAGAAGAACAGCAGCAAGGAGGAGTTTCGTCAGCACAGAATGTGCGAGAAAGGGTGATGTCGGAAGAGCAGGGTTTGCCAAACTGCTAAACCTTTAACCGTTCTCGTGTCTAGACAAAGGTAAAGAAGATTTTTCCCTGGGAATCTAACCCTGTCTATGGGCTATTCAGCTGGATAGTGAGCAAGACGCCGCAAGAACATCGCTCTTGTCAAGCATATCGGCCTTAAAATGCAAGTATTGGAAGCTGAGCGACTGAGGACAGTGGTACGCTGGAAAAAGAATTTCGAGAGCACTGGCACCGCGAGGACCAGCAACCGAAAACCTAATGAACTGATGAGCTCTTCAGCCTGACCAAAGCGCAAGACTTAGGCTCCGCAAGAGCTTCGGCAAGTCCTTGAAGAGATCGTGGACCCTGAGGCTGTGATAGGCTTTGCGGATCTGTGCGGACATGCTGAGCCTCCTCGTTGTGTGTCCAGGCAGCCGCAGCTAATGTGGCGGAGACCGAGGCATTTCTGCGCAATCGTAGTTCGCTTGTGGAGGCGTGATCAAGGGGCTGTTGGGGGGGCTTCTAGCTGATTCTAGCTGCCGATGAGATCCTGCAGCCTGCAGACTTGATGCAGGATCCACTGCCTGAAGGTGCTGAGCACTCTGCAAGTTCAGACAAGCTTGTGGTCAGACAGGCCAGATCCGTGTCTTGGCTGCAAGCTATCTCCTCTAAAGTGCTTTTCATGGCAGGACGTGAATCGGGAACAAGGTGCCGTCCTCAGCTTTGCATCCGATAGTTGTTCGTCGGCGGTAGCGTTTTTGTTTGTTTTCTGGTTTGGGCGTTTTCAAAACGTAGGTGCGCACAAAGCTGGGGAGGCATGAAGGAAAGAGTAGCCAAAGGAAGGAAGAAGGAAAGAGATAGCAAGAAAAACAGAAGGGAAGAATGAAGGACGGCAACTAATGCAACTTACATGAGCTGCCAAGGGCTTGCCAGGCCGTCGAGAAGCATCACTCGGACGATGAGTATAACTACCCCACTGTTGCTACTAGTCATTTGGTACGCAGGATTATTGATCTTGGATCGGAAATCACCTCTGCGTTTTGCTAGTTTTACGAATGCACATCGGTTGTCCAATGGTGCGAAAAGCTTAAGTTAGCAAGACAAGGTTCCGCTTCGGGATGCAGTTCCCAGAGAGTGTGGGCCAGGTGCAAGGCGACGGACAGTTGGTGATAACTTCAGAGCATGACGGAGGTCACCTGAAGGTTGGTCCCCTCGCGGGTTTCTGTGCCGATGACGGCTTCCGAGTATGTGCTGAACTGAACGCGGAGCTGATGCGCCCCGTTGGTGCAGTTGCGGCGGCTGGGTGCAAGTGGGCAATGGTGCGGGAGGAGCATGTCCCGCTCGTGTGAAGCCACTGGCCCGGTAGCTGGGGACTTGAGAGGCAAAAATCTGGTGTGGGTCGCGAGACGGTTATCCACGCCGGATGAGGTGGCTCATGAAGGCAAGCGCTCACCGGCCCCGAGGATAGAATCAAGGAGTGCCGTGCCGAGTTCGAGGAGGATTACGAAGCGGGGCCGGGTCAGCCCGGCAGGCGTGATATCGAGACAGCACCGGGCATCCCGTTAGATGTTCAGCACGAGGAGCAGTTGGACACAAGGATCTTCGCCACATTAGGCGTGGGCCGGTGATCTCAAGAAAAGGGGATATGCGAGGAAGAAGACACCAAGACCCACTGTCTGGGACCCATCACGTGCCTCCTCCCGTCTGTACGCGTGAAGTGTGCCCCCGGACGCAGACATCATGGGAGGGCGAAGTCCCTCCGCAACCCCCGAATGCAGAAGCAACGACACCAGAAATCGTGTCGTCACGCTCATGATGCAATGCCGAGGCAGAGGCCGAGAGATTTCCATCATCTCTGATCACTGCACGATTGGATCTAAGACGCACCTCGGTAGAGTCTTAAAAGCCAACGCAGCCAACGTAAAAGAACAGGTGAAACGACAACGTTGCATTGCAAAGCAAGTACACATGAGCATCAATCCCAATCTGTTTTTACAGCCGCGACTGGTTCTAGATCGCAGCTTGGTTCGCTAAATGATTTGGAACCACAATCACACACTGTTGGTGCAGCTGCAAGACAGTCCTTCAAAACATTCCGATCATGAGAAACCTTTCGGGTCCAGGTTTTGAGCTTCTGAATCACAACGCTGGAGGGATAGCCAGCGTGAAGAGAGATTATGCTGATGAAGTCCCGTAGAGACTGTGCCAAGCACTCATGGTTGCTAGAGAGCAACATGCATCTGGAAAAGCCGTCCATGAGGGACGCATCGAAAGTAGAAGAGAGAACGAGCACCATGGTAGCAGAGCTTGTTTGTACCGGTGGTTATAGGCAACAACCTCACCCAACAGGCACACCAATGAATGGAACCATTCAACCGTTTATGCAAAGCAGCCTCATCCCGACAAAAGGGTTCACCGCAGCATCCTTCATGACAAGGTGTGGAGGGTACACGACATTTCATCCGCACGTCGAGCTGCCCACTCACCATAAACCAGGGGGTGCAAGATAAGGGTACGCGGGTCATCAACAAAGCGGATTCCACAGAATGAACAGTCGTGGAAGGTGGATTTGAAATCCAGCCAAATAACGAGACCTCAAGGCCTTGACCTCATGAGCTGCAAGCACCATCCGGAAGATTGCGCCACCAGCCGCCTGTCCCATCATGATTCCTTCGGTTTGCCATCCTCGATGGGCACCAAAGGACAACTGCATGTGCTGGAAGCCAGTATGGGCTCCACATCATCAAGTGTAACCTTAACCCAGTGTGTGCCCACAGGTTTGGTCCATGATGCTGAGCCATGAGGATCATGCAACGACCGTTTCGTGGTAGAGCACGTCGTGATCCAAGCAGTACACAGACCAAGTGATAACGTTGCGGATTTCAGGTAAAGCCAAGCCTGCTGGGCTTCCGCATGCTGTATCCGCACGAAACCGTTGTCAACATCACGGGAAAGGAAGAACATGCCATAGTTGCTAAACCCCGTCATCTCAGCAGCCAAACCCCTTTCTGCAAAGGGTCTGTCTTTCAGCTTCCGAAGTGCAGTGATTACACTTTGATGCGTTGGGTGCTCAAAATGCATGTCAGTGGGCAAGCTCTTTAGGCACAGGTCAACGAAACGCGCATGGATACGGCATAGCAGGCTCAACGGATTGCGAGACTGGTCGCCAAGCGGGCGAGCTACCGCTAAGTTCTTGTGCTTCGGCACAGCCCTCACCTGGCCCCATGATTCCTCTCGCAGTGCCAGTGTTTTGAGCCAGCGGGTTTGCTTGCGCTAGGCTGCCTGATCCCCTCTAGCACGTGCACCGAGCACTCCCGACCCCTGCGCAAGAATCTTGTCTGCTTGGATTGCAGTTGCTGCCTGTGCCGCTGCAGCTGATTGCCGCGGAGACAAACAGCTGTCGCTGATTGTTCCCACCCTCCCGCCCGTTTGTCTGCGGCCCGATGCGGCTGGTTTGCTTTCCCTTGACCTTGACGTGTGCGAAGGGTCCCTGCCAGGGGGCAGGTCCCTTCCACACCATTGTGCGACTGGTCCAAAAATGTGCGCCTAGGGCCTAGGGTTGTGTGCATGTGTTATGCCTAAACCTCTTGTTGAGTGCGGCAGGCTGCAGATCATCACGCAAGCGTGGAATCACAATGCTGTCAAGCCCAAGCCAATCAGGCTCATCTCGCTGATACGTGAAAGTTGCACCCAGAATAGGTTGCAGACAATCAAGTAAGCCATGCTGGGCTGCCGGCAACTTTCCAAACCTGACACGCTCGGAATCAATATCCGAGACTTTCACGAGCTCACCTTCCTGCATGCGCTGTTGTCTGGAAGGCTCGCACCAACGTGTATAAGACGCACCTATCGTCCACACGTCCGGAGGATGGTGTTGAAACAGGCCACTAGCTTGCAAAAAGTACATGCGAGGGCACATGCAGACAAACTCAGATGTGTTTTTGCCCAGAGCTTCAATATAGAGCCCTTTGCCATTGCACAACTTCTGTATCACTGCGACATCTGCCACTCTCACATGTTCAAACCCCAAGTCTTCAACAGCACGTTTCCAACTGTCAACAAGATTCTGTGCGAACTCGTGTGCAACAGCTGCAGCCGCCCCTGTACGCTACCATCACCAAAGGGGGCAAGCAAAGTGCGAGCTACACGTTCAAATCTAGTCTCAACCTCACTCAACATTGCGTCCCTCACAGGCACAACTCGGGTGTGGGCCGAGAGCTGACGCAAGAAGTCCAAACGACTAGGCAGTGGGAGCTCACTCGGACGAAGACAAACCATGGAATGACCCGTCTAGTGCCTTACAGCGTGGCCAGCTGCTGCTGGGTAGGTCGCAACATGTGTATGCACAGACAACATCATCAAGGCGTTTGTTGTACTTTGGCGCAATCCGCACGAGGTCCAAGATGCTTAAACCTGGTTTCCAGACAATCTGGCATTTCGCTCGTCCGTAGGAGAAAACACTTGGTTGCCAGGCACCCATGGAGAACAGACGGACAGTGAAACCCTGGATGGCCTGTCTGGTACCATGGACCATAGATGTTCTCCCCTTCCTTTGTAAGGGCTTTTAACAGGGCTTCGTCAGATCGGCTGCCTGCAAGGACTTCCTCTCTCTGAACCGAGACAAACCAAAGCTTTCACACAAACCCAAAAACCACGATCATAATAAAGCATACAAAAGCTCACCCCTGTAGCGGAGCATGTGCTTTTGCGACGTAAGTATGCTGTGTTGTTTCAGGCCTTGACATTGACCACTACCAGGAGGACGATCAGTTTGCTGATCTTGATATAGCCTCTGCAGTCGACCGGTTGCTTTCGATGCCTTTCGAAGCAGCCATGAAGACGAGCAAAGAACTGAGAGACTACGTCCCCTGACTGCACCTCGCAGTAGCCTTCGAACAGCGTTGTGGGAATGCTATGCTGCTATGCTTCTTGTTCTGGCAGGTGAGGCAGAGGTTGCATGGCAGAGTGACCCCCGGGCGTGCCAGCCGTGACAGTGCCTCTCGAGGTGAGAAATCCGAAACGAAGCAAGGACGAGATCGCCGACTTGGAGGCGGAATTCGCGCAAAGTTGGAGCTTGGAGGCTCCCACGGAATTGCGGGACATTTTGGAGGCTCAGCTGCAATCTTCTATCGTGAATCTTTCTGTTGTGAAGAAGCAGTGGCAGCTAAGGAGGAGCTCCTTTTCCCCGATGTGGTTGCTGCCCGTCAGGCTCGGGAATCTCGCGAACCAATCGCACGCCTCTGAAGCGAGAAAATGCACCGTGGAGGGAGCCGAGGTTCGAAAATGGCCTCGTCAGTGTCGTTGTGATGTTGGCTGAATTTTGATTTAGTGTGTCCGGGACTCCATGCTACCACATCGTGCACCGGTACTCAGACCAGTCGCGTAGTGTCGCCTGGATCATGTGGCTGTCGTAAAGATGGTAGATGCTTCCGAGACCCCCCCCCCCCTATGCGTCGCAGCATACAACACGCAGCATGTTGCTGCCACGTCGGCCTGAAAGCCATGCCACGCTCGGTCTCGGAGCTTGCGGAGTATTCGCACGAGGCGGCAGCTTCGAAGTATGACGGAATGAGGCAGCACCCGCCACAAGGTTTTGGTCATCTGCAGCCTAGGCCGGATGAAGCCGAAGCCGGCGTCGTTGCGAGGCGGCTCAACAACTTGAGTCACACTTGTGTACAGGAGCTCCGGCTCATCCTGAGCCTCGGCCTGTGGACGTTGCTGTATAGCTCTTTCGTCCCGGCCCTTGGCCGCCGCTAGAAGCCCAGACAAGACCGACCCATTGACCGTCTGCAAATCTGCAACCCGGAATAAAATAGTTGCGCAACCTGGTCTGCGATTTCCGCACTGTCCTAAATCATTGGCCTGCGAACGTGCAGGGAGAATAGAGATGCCATGGCTTTCCAAAGGCGTGAGCAGCAAGTCAACACTTCACGTTTTAAACTCTTGCTGCCTGCACCAGCCGGTCTGAGGCTACTCTGGGACAGGTGGGCGAACCTTGTCATTTCAGAAGCATGGTGCCAAGATGGGCTTGATGTGGTCGACACTGTCTGAGTGTCATCGACGCCACAGGGTAGTGCTGCAAGTTACTGCAAAAATGTCGGCCCAAAGCTGATGGGCCAATGTGTAGCGGGGAGCGATGGGTCGTAAACGCGATCGGTCGAAAACGCCTGAGGCTGGGCTGGCCGTGGCATCCCATAGCCGGCTCGCATGCACCGATGCCAGGTGCCCTGGGAGCTGCTGCCGAGCGGAGATGGAGTTCCGGTTGCGCCAATTGCAGGAGCTGAGCCAGTTCAGCCAAAGGCAGGCTACTCCTCGGCATGAAGCTGGTATTGATAAGGATCAGCGTTGGAGTTCGTTGAGACGTTTCTTTTGGTTCTAGCAAGGCTAGCAACGGCTTGCACAAGTCGATTTATCAAGCTATGCCGGCGTTTGACTGTAACATCCTTCTCATCCGTTGTCAATGTCAACTCTCCAAACCAATCTTGCGGGACTAGCTAGGCAGCCAGATCGACGGGAGCATTCTAGTTCCGAATGACTCTACTTTATCGGGGTAGAGGGCGAGGTTCTTTGGGGTTTCTGGTTTTCCGCGTAGGGTGTAGGGGTTTTTCAAGCTTCAGGGTTTCGGGCTTTGTAGGGTCTACAGTTGAGGGCTTGAGGGAGGTTCAGCGCTTGGGTTTCTTCACGGTAAAAGATCCCGGGTTCGGGGTTTAGGGTGTCACAGGGCTAAGGACCTAGGGGTCTCTGAATTTATGGTTTTCCACGTTTTCGGGATTTTCCAGGGTTTCGCGCCCACGGTGTGCTCAGGAGTCAGGGTTTACGAGGTTTAGGGTCGAGGGCTGCTTTAAAGTTTAGGGCCTTAAGTATTTAAGGTTTAAGGGTTCATCAGGTTTAGGGTTTAGGATCTTTGAAGCTCGGTTTGGCTTGGGTTCTTTGGGGTGCACGGTCTTCCCGCTTGGGGTTTGCGGTCTTGAGGGTCTCTTGGTTTGCAGGGTTTGCACCTAAATGGATGCACCGCGCCGTCCGGCAGATCTGACTTGGCAAAGGTGGCCTTCAGGGATTGAGGTTTCCTCGGTTCGGGGTTCAGGGTGTCACAGGGTTCTGTGGGGTTAATGGTTTTCCACGGTTTAGGGTCTAGGCTTCGGCTTTTCGAGGTGCCGGGTTCGGGATTTTCCAGGTTTTGAGGGCTTAGGGTGTGTTCAAGAATCAGGGTTCACGAGGTTTAGGGTCGAGGGTTTTTAGGGTTTAAGGCTCTAAATATGTTAGGAGTTTCGGATTCACAAGGTTTCGGGTTTAGGACTTTAGGGTTTAGGACCTTTGAAGCTCGGTTTGGCTTGTGGTCCAGCATATCTGACTTAGCAGAGGTGTGCGCAAGTCAGATCCACATGCAGCAGGAACATGTCCTGCGGTGCCTGAAGGGCGACGATTCGTTCCCGAGTTGTCTGTTCGCCTGCCAGGACTTAAGCACACGGTCGGCGAATCGGGTTCCTGAATTCTGGCGGTTCCCGAAATTCCCGTCGCCCCAGGGCAGGCTATCCCAGTGAGGTGGGTTGGGGGGAGCGGGCCTCGCGAAGCTGTCGTGAGGGGCGAGGGAAAATGATGATTGCATGAATGTTTTAGCTTAGCAGGTTCTTGGGGGTCCGCAGAAGCTTCTCAGCTGGCTCTAGGCTTTGATTCCGGACACTTTCCGGACTGTCGCGTGTCGGGGGGGTTCTTCACCGGCAAGAGGAGGAGCTTTGTGAAAATCGTCAGAGCAAGAAAGGAAAGCTAGGTTGGGACATGTTTTGACTGAAATATATTGTTATAGATGGAAGTCTGTCGTAGCTGGTGAACTGAGGCCGGTCGCAGTCTGTGGGTTGCTTGTCTTGACCATTTCTGGTGACGACTGTTTTGGCTTGACCGAAGGGGTACACGGCCGTTTATGTGTTTTGAGCGTGGGCTGCGGGTGGGGTTTTATACTTCGAACTATTTAACTATGGAAGCCAAGCAGCCCTGCCAAGATCGACCGAGTGCTGAAGTCAGAAATGGCGGTGGAGCCAAACCTGTCGATCCTGCACTTGTAGCTGCTGCAGCTGCCAATGAAGAACGTAGCTTGGAGCTGGCAAATGGTGATGGGGCATGTTGTCGCCCAATGGATTGATGCTGTTTGAGGACAATTTTCTAGTTGCAAGGTGCATTCAGCGGTTCACTTGGCTTTGGTATGCTGCTCTGCCGCTGCGACACCATGTTGATCTCGCCAAACCGCTGCCCGAGGAGATGCATGGCGGCGCCTCGTTATTGTGCTGGCTCAATCGCGCGGAGACCGCAAAGTGGAAGCTCTGTTGAAAGAGAGGCATCCAGAGCTGCTTCAAGTCGCGGACGCTTGGCCTGAACGCTGTGGATGCCCGGCAGTCGGCAGAATTCCCGGTGATTGGCCTTTCATTTTCAGTGTGTGGTGGGGAAGGCTTGCATGTACCATGGGGCCGGTGGGTTCTCATAGATTGACGGTCATGTCGTAACGGTTAAATCTCTAGCCTTTGAACCGTGTGGTCATCACCGAACCCATTTGCCGGTACCTCTCCGTTCCTTTGGTTTGTCATGCTAGTGGCGTGCTGGGACCGCGAGCGTTCGACTGCTCCAGTGCCCCGCCAAGGAGAAGTGTGGTGCCTCTGGCAAGGCGATGCATCGCTTTCCATTTACCTGTGCTTCTTAGTGTCTCTGAAGCTTTGCAACAAGTGACCGTTCAGGCAGTGAACAATTCCAAAACCCAGATAGTTTGAGGCGTCTGCTGCCTTAGGGTCCATGGTCGGTTGATTGTGCATTGAGGGCTTCGTGTCAAAAAAGAAAGGATTTCCCTTGCAGCCATTTGGCTCGAGCAGTCATCAGGCTTGCTGGAGAGTTTGGAGTACGCACCTCATTAGATGAACCTTGACGTGACCGAGATTCGACCAAAGCTGTACATCGGCTCCCGCGATGCAGCATCCCAGACCAAACAGCTGGCCATCTTGGGAGTGAGGCACGTGCTCTCGGTTGGCACCGAGTTCCCTTCAAAACTGGGTGTACCTGCTCTGTTGGAGGAGAAGCATCTTTCCAAGCGCAAGGTTGATGGACGCTCCAGTGGCGGACGGATGTATTTGCAGGATGGCGGCAAGAAAGACCCGTTTGTGAGGCTGTTTGTTCCAATCGACGACATGGGCTCGGTGGACATCGCACAATATTTTGATGATGTCCGACTCTTTATTTCCGAAGGGCTGGCCCAAGGAAAGGTGTTGGTCCATTGTGTAGAAGGACGTTCCAGAAGTGTTGCACTGGCTGTTTCCTTTTTGATGCACAAAGAGAAGATCTCCGTCGGAAAGGCCTGGCCTGGCCGGGAGGGGTGCAAGTAGAGGATTGTGCGTTTGCAGATAGTTCTGCAGCTGTCTGCATTTCGCTGCTTGAGGCTCTGCTGTCTGTCAAGGAGAAGCAGCTTGCGTGAGCGCTTGTCTTGCGAGTATTTTTTTCCCACAAGAGATGCAGTCAAGCCTGCAGGAGAAGCGCCCGACCGTCAGTCCGAAGCCTGGTTTCATTGGACAGCTATTGGCCCTAGAAGAGCAGCTTGGCATTGAGCCAGCCTCCCCTCGAACTGCAGAGGCCAGCTCGCTTTTCGTCATGCCTCCGTTTACTTGCAATTCATAATGCTGCAGGCTGCGGGTGCTCTGAAGAAAGACACGGACAGCTCCAATCCCAGAGCTGCTCTGCTCAGTTTGAAGCTTGGAGCGCAGCCCCGTGCTTTCTTGCCAGCTGCAAGGTGTTCCTGGAAATATCCTTGGATGGGCAGTCTATTGGTCGTCTTGAGATCGAGCTATACGCCGACATAGTTCCTCAAACTGTGGAGAATTTCAGATGTCTCTGCACTGGCGAGTGGGGACGTGGGCCAGTGAGTGGAAAGCGTCTCACCTACCTGGGGTCTGTTTTTCACTGCATCATTCCGGGCTTCGTCTGCATTGGAGGTGATATCACAAGGGGGGACGGAACCGGAGGTGAGTCGATCTATGGGCACGCCTTCCAAGATGAGAACTTCGAAGTCAAACATGACTCCGAGGGAATTGTGTCGATGGCAAATTCTGGTCCGGATTCCAATGGTTCGCAGTTTCTAATCTGCTGCACAGATTGTCCACAACTTGATGGCAAGAATGTGGCCTTCGGCAAAGTCGTCTCGGGAATGGAAGCAGTGAGGATGATGGAGGCTTTCGGTTCACTTTCTAGCGAACCCCTATCTGAAACCCCGGATGCACATGTTCCACTTCAACATCAACAACACTTTCGTACCATAATTTCTGGCGGTGTGTTAGCCTTTAGGTGCAGTTGCGAAGCGGCGCGAAGTCCAGTTTGTGGCCTGAGTGGAGAGGACTGCGGAAGTGCTGATGGCACGGCATCCAAGCGGGTGACCATCCTGGACTCTGGAGAGGCCAGGCCAGACTTGCAGGACTTGCACACGAGACCCAGCAGCTGCCTCGAGCTCCGAGTGCTAGGTTCCACAGCCGGGCCGCGCAGTCAAACGCGCTAGGCGCGATGCAGATGCGGTTGCCACTGTCCTTCAAATCCTCCGGAAACATGAAGGCTGCAAAAAGGCCAGCCGCTTGTGTGTCTGAGAGAGTTGGAGAGAGAAAGAGAGAGAGAGAGAGAGAGCGAGGTGTGCGCGCGGGGAACGGGGGGAACTCCGTTCTCTTGGCTGTGTGGGGAGAGAAAGGGCTGCGTGTTGGTAGTGCTTCTGTTTTCTGTTTACGGATTCCTTCGCCAGGCCTTTCCCCTAAACCGCAACATGGCGCAATCATCTGCCGAAGCAGGGCTATTGTTACAAGACACACAAAAACACAAGTTTGCATGTCCAGAGTCTAGAGGACCACTACGAATCGCCCGGCGTAAAGAAAGACCTTGGCTGCATTAGTACCTGCACATCCCGCTAGGTGGTTCATGAACCTTGGGTCGCAGTGGAGGATGAAACAATTCTAATCCCCCCTTTGAGCATCATTTGCGTGCAATATTCCTCGAAAGTGTTTAAGCTGATTGACTGAGGTGTGTACAGGTGCTGATCAGCGAAGATGAGTTTGAAAAGAGAGCTAGGTGTTGTTGCCGACCTGCAACAGGCTAACACTTGGATTCTTGTTTGCCTTCCCTCAGATTTCGAGACAACGATTCCGAGTCTTTGGAAACTCGTGTGGTTTTGGTTGCAGCTGCCCTTAGCGTTGACTTTACCACCGGGGAGTCGGGATCGGGTTTTACGAGCTCTTCACAAGGCCCAGCAACATGGGTGGGCCTTCGGCCAGCCTTCAGCGCCTCCTATAGGCACAGGACAAAGAGCGAGAGAGCGAGAGAGAGAGAGAGAGATAGAGAGACAGAGAGAGAGAGGGCTAGGCCCGACTCCCCACCACAGCCGGCGAAAGAAACAGGGCTAGGCCTACGGGCGAGGGGGCCCGGTCCCCATATCCCGAGCAAAAAAGCAAGCAAGCAAGAGAAGCAAGCAAGCAAGATAGAGAGAGAGAGAGAGAATCGTGAGTAAGAATGTGTGAGTGCGCTGGTTATGAATGCCAAGTTGTGTGTTTTGCCTATGCTGCGGTACAAGCCCCGAGAAAAGAATCAGTAGCAGGATGTGTCACGCCGAGAAGCCTTGACTGAAGAATCCCGACTGGGCCCCCAACAGAAAAGGGCAGGGGGTAACCCAGCATCTAAAGCCTTCCGAAAGAAGAGAGAATTGCCCCTGTCACTCTGCCACTGAGGCGAGTTCCTGGCGACAGGAAGTGATTACTTGCAGCCAGGAGGAGGCAAGGAAGCAGTTGCAGAGCCTTCGGCAGATGCTTTCTCTGGCATCGGGTTCTGACCTGGTCAACAAGTTCGAGGACAAGAGCACGGGTTTGTGATTGCCCCACGCAGTTCGCTTCGATTTCATGGCGATTCTGCATGGCGATTCTGTCCAGGAGCTGGCAGGTGAGCATTCCGACTGCAAATCTGCCAAGAGAGGCGGGCGCCTCGATCCTTTCGAGAAAGGCATGATGAGCAAAGCCTTCGAAGAGGCGGCTTTTGCTCTTCCGGTTGGCGGACTATCCGAAGTTTTCTCTACCAAGCAAGGAGAGCACTTGCTATTGCGACTATCTTGAAGTCTGCCCGCAACACGTGGGTTTATCCAGGGTTTTGGCCACTACATCCAGCGCAAAGAGGTGGCGAGCATGCCGGCTGATGATCCCCGCTCCACCCTCCCCGAGATTGCGGAAGACTGTTTAAAGCTGACGACGGGACTTCTTGTACAAGAAGTGGGCAACGTGAACATCTTTCAGCACGCAATTACAAAGAAAGCAGAGATAGGCAGAGGCCAAATGGCACGATCCATCCGACTGAGCAGCTTGCAAACAGATTTGTTCGGCTGAGCTCGGGGCAGCCTGGGCAAAAAGGGCTTTGGCTGCGTGCTTCTCCAGAAGCTTCTTGTAGCGATCTTCGACAAAATACACCATAGCTGAAACAGACGTACGTCAGAAGCTGGCACACAAGCCGACATGCAGAAGTTGGATTCTTTTCCGAAACTTGCAAAAGCATCTTGAGTTGCTCCAGGCGACGATGACTCTCCAAGCTGCCAAGGATTCTGCACGAGAATGGTTCGCGCGAGGTCTGACACTTCTCGGTACTCGTTAAATGGTCTGCCCTGCACCATGTGCCGAGTGCATGCGGACCGCAACAAGAGTGACGAGAGAACCAAGGAGAGGTGGCAACCAGCATGGGCCTGCTGCGAGAGCCAAGCTTTGCAAGCAACTGGCAGGGATCCAAGAGTACCTTCACATACCCTTACCAGTAGCAAGGCGGTGTCCAGGGTGATCAGTCGTGAAGCAGGAAACTCTTCCCGAGGCAGGGCAGCTCCAGGAGCACGCAGCGTCGGTGTGCAGCAGCGCCACCGCTGCTCACATAGCCAGTGTGCTGGAACGCGGGCGGCCGGAAGAAGAAGGTTCGCACGATTCCTGATAACCCCCGAGTTGCCGAGTGGATCTTTTTGATTTCTTGAGGTCCAGAAGGTCACTGCTTGCAGACATGCCAGAAACAGTGGTGAAGCCGGTTCAGGTCCGCTTATTTGCGCGACAATGGCCCGGGAGTTGCGGGGAAGCCGCTATGAAGGGCTGTGTGTTGACTGCAACGGTCGTCGCATTGCACGGTGAAAGTCGCTGCTGGCCGTAGGCAGTCCTTTCCAGGATGACAGGGTACTCCTAGCTAGCAGTTTTCTATTTTCTTCGAGGTGGATTTCCCGCAAGGGTCCGGCAGGGCACTACTACCTGGGAGATGAGCACGAAGGTGCAAACCTTCCTTCAACAGACAAGGTGCGGAGAGACCCGTGCGCTGCAGAGAGAGTGAATTAGCCAGCAGGAGAGAGAACATTTGCAACAGAGAGAGAGAGAGAGAG